GGAGCAGTGAACGCAGAGCCAGCCCCGAGTGGGGCTTCCTCCCTCTTGCGCTGCCCTTCAGGCAGGTCTCGGAGTGAGAAGGGGGCAAAGAATGGAAGGGGAAAAGGCCAGAGCCGACCCCAGATGGACCTTCTGCGCTGTGAGTGGAAATAAGGTGTTTGATGGGAACCCTCTTCCCTGGTGTCRGAGAGACTTTTCCTGAGAAGTTTGGGTGTACGTTTACTGTGTATGGGGGCAGGAATGTTTCTTGCAGGGAGKTGGATATCTGAGCCGCTGGTGTCTGTTTTTTGAGTGGAAAGAAGCGCAGCTCTTGCTCTGCCAGTGTAGCGCCCAGCCTCGGTGCTCCGTAGCAAAGCAAAGGTTGGCCAACCCAAGGACCATCTTATGTGGAGGTTTGGCTTGGCCTTCTGGGCTTCTCTTGGGAGATCTTTGTGTTCTTGGCAACTTGGTTTGCTGAAGGAATGCGGTTGTGCTCTGCCCCTGACAGGGTTGTGCTTTGATGCAGAGGGAAGGCTGATTTACCTGCCAAGATGGCCTTGAGGGCCAAAGGCCTCCTGGGGCCTTTGGTGAGAACTGCCTTGCTGCTGTTTTGCTGGCCCTGTGTCTGCAGGGAGGCCCTGAGCCGCGCTGCGTGGGGCAGCGATGCCCTGGTTCTGCTCGCAGTTGAGTTCTTGACCCAACGTGTGCTCTGAAACATGCAATGGGAGTGGGGGACAGTGCAGTGTCAGCAGCTGCCCACATGCTCCCCTCCTGGATTTGTGCAGCAAAAGAAGAGAATCCTAAAGACTGACCCAGAGGGGAGCCACAGGCCTCCAACCAGCCTCCGAGGCGGTTTCCTGACCAGATCCTGCCATTCTTTGGCTGCCTCTTTGCCTGTGAGCAGCAGCGGGGAGGGCGATGGCAGGGCTGGGAGCGGCCCGTRCTTGCCCGGGAACCCTCCTGAGCTGGCTGTGATCTCAGTGCCTGGGAAGCTGCAGCCGCACAGGCACGGGCGCCTGCCCGCGCTCCCGGGCACTGCCCAGCTCTGCCTGCCCCACAGGCAGTGCCCTGTTGCCTCGGAGACTGTGGGGCTGCCAGCCAGGCCCTGCAAGGCTCTGTGGGCCAGCAGCAGCAAGTGACCTTGGTGGGAGCTGCTGCTGGCCAGCCCTGCCCGCCCCGTTCTTTTAGTGTGGGCYGTAACATTGGGGGCTGGCAGGGCGCATCCCTCCTCTCCGGCTTCCCGCATCCCACGGCTCCAGGTTGGTGTGCACTAGAGCCTGCTCGCTCTGCCTGGCGTCTTAGAGACTTGCTTGGGAGCTGGGAGGGAGGGAGAAGCCTGCCGCCCTCCTTTGCCTCTCTGGGCTCTCTGCACTGCTCCCTTCTGGCAGCAATAATCTGCATCTCGCTCTGCGCTCAAGTCTTTGTATTTCGTGGAGAAGCTTCTCTTGKGCTGTGATGTCTCTCCAGCATGGCCAGCTTGTCCCTTTAGAGTTGCTCTGTGGTGGCCACTCGTAACTCTAGAGAGACTGGTGGCCAGGTTGGCCTCTTGAGGCTTCCGGCCTTTTCCTCCTCCTCTTCGCTCATCTGTGTCCCCCTCCTGCCAGGCCCTGAGAGCTGCTCCGCTCAGTTGCCCAGCACGGAGGCTGCCGAGGCCCCGCAGCGCCCCGGCCCGCTCGGCCGCGCGCGGCTGGGCTGCCCCCCGCGCGAGGAGAGCGAGTTCTCGGCACGGCGACGGCCGGACCAGGCGCGCGCGCTGCTGCGGGCGCTCCGTGGAGGAGGCCCCGAGCCCTGCGGGGCTCCAGCGGGGAGCAGATCCCCTGCTCTGCGCTGCGTCCTGCTCCTGCCCTCCTGCTGTCCCCGCGGTTGGCGCTGTGCTCTGGCCCCTGCGGCTGCCTCCAGAGGTCCRGGGGTGGAGAGCACCCATGGGGGATCTTGGGGGTTCTGTAGCACTGGGGCTGCTCCGGGTGAGGGGCAGCCCCAGCAGAGCCTGCCCCGAGGTGCCAGGCCGGCACCCCCAGGCGCCTCCCTGCCCCTTTATCATCTCCCCATYGCTGCAGTGGCCCCTGTGCCCCAGCCCCGCGTGCAGCTGGGCGAGGGCCGGGGCTCGGGGCGGCCTCCGCGCTCCCGCAGGAGCAGGGGGCGGCCCTGGCTCCGCGTGGGAGCAGGGACAGGCYGAGGCAGCAACCGGCTGCCACCTCCTTCCCTTGCCCTCGGGGCGCTTTCTGGGGCTGCCCCGCTCCTGTCTGCACCCCCTGCTTTGTGGAGAGGCGGGGGCTGCAGGCCGGCCCTGCCCCAGTGCAGACGGTCAGTGGATGGSATGTCTGCTTGGGGTTGCCCTTCGCCGGGCAGAGGCAGCCGCCTGCGCCCAGCTTTGCTCCTGCGCCTTCAGCTGCCCCTCGCCTGGGGGCTGCCTCGCRCTGAGCTCTTCAAGTGCAGCCTGCGGCGCGGCAGGCACCACTCGCTATCACCCTAGTGCCTTAGGAGGAAAAAAAGCCAGCGAAGAAGCCAGCTCAAGACCAAGGAGGGACTTTKGGGCCAGGGCTGCTGCCTGGGGCTGCTCTGCACAGCCGGGCCCTGCAAGGGCCTGAAATGGGGGAGGGAGGTTCCTGCCCAGCAGAGGAGGAAGGGCCCGTGAAGGGGGAGGAAAATCAGCTCTGCGAGGTGGGAGGGTGGCCAATAAGTGCATTAAGGTGGGGGAGGGAGGGAAAGTGCCATGGAAATGATGTGCCTGTGGGTGCTAGTGGGGTGCTGAGCACCCAGCGCCCAAGGTGGGGGTCGATGGCTCTGGTGTGGTGCCTGCAGGACACGTGTGTGGCTGGTGCTGCCAGGCTCCAGGTGGTGGTTCAGAGCCCTCCCGGGAGTGGGGAGGGCTGCCAGACCCGGGGAGGGTCTGTTCCAGRCGCCAGCAGGAGCTTTTAGCCCTTTCCTGCCTATGCTCAGCAGGATGGGGGTCGTGTTGTTTCATGGAGAACCAGCATCCCGCTCGGGCCACAAGAGCGTTTGCTGGGAACTGGGAGAGCTGCTGCTGGAAGCAGCTGCCTGGCCCTCTTCTCAGGAGCGTATGGGGTTGAGTCCAGGGTGGTGCTGGAGGATCTGKATCCTGCTGGAGGCAGGTGAGGTGACGGGCCCTGCGTGCAGCACTGAAGGCCTTGACAAAACTGCCACTTAACAAGATTTTTTCCTCTTCAGCTGTGGCCACAGTTATTTGAGGACACCCATCTCAGGCTCTCCCTGTGACCTAAGTTTTGTTCTATGATATGACATGGTCAACATCCACTAATAAAAGCAGTTTGAAGAGCATTGTTGTTGCACAGTTCACTGCAGGTGCTGGCTCCAGCAACAGCGGCAGGAGAGGAGCAGGCTGCAGCCAAACAGAGGCAGGTCAAGCTTTGACTGGGGTGGCGAGGACAGCCCTCAGCTGCTGCCTCCACCCTGTGTTCTGCTGAACATACAGCCTGAAGCGAGCTGGTCCTCTGGGAGAGAAGCAGGAGTGCTGTCCCGTCCAAAAAACACAGGGCAGCTTCATCCAGGATCATGGTGCCTGATGGAGCAGTGCAGTCTGTCAGAGGGGAAGGAGCCTGGGGAACAAAGTGCAGCACTGCCCTCCTCCTGCCCCCCTTTTTTGGTGTTCATTTTAAATAACTTACCTATAATGCACTGGTTTGTCTGTAGCTATTTCCCAACTTCTTAGTCTCGCAGCATGGCTTAAGAAAAACAGAGTCACATTGCCAAGATGCTTGAGCAGAGTATTTATTCAATGCCATAGTGAAGAGCAAAACTCAGTACAAACATAAACCCTCTGTGCCTCACTCGCTACTACACCAAGCTAAGTGAGAAGAACCAATGTCACAAGCTCTGGGGGAGAGGGGAAGAAGGTAGAGGCCAACATTACTTTGTGGAACTGTACAGGTAACTGGACTTAGATCTTGTGCACACACAGAACAGGACTCCCTCGCTTTCTGGAAGTCATTTGATGACTGAAAACCTGAGTACAAGGGTTTGGGATAAAGCCATAGGTGCCAGCAAAGAAGGGGAAAATGGAAGGAGGACACGCAGCTCCTGGTGAAGGGCTTGGGGAGCTGTTAAAGCCCTCGGTGCCCATCAGCGCAGTGCCTGCTGCCTCCGTCAAGTCTAGCTGCAGCCCTGGCACTGTGAGGGGCACAGACAGCTGCCTGGGACATGGCATTCCCAACGTTCCTCCTCCATTTCAGCCTAGGCTCCCTTCCAAAYGTGGGCCTAGCACCCAGCCCCTGGGGTCACTGTGGGCCCGTGGTGGCTCTGGGAGCAGCTCTCAGGCATTGAGGCTAAGTCAAGATTAGAAGCTTAATTTTAGACTCTCTCATTTGGTTACCTGCTGGCGAGAGCTCTTCAGGGACAGATACAAGGCAAACAACACTGGGTTCATAACAGCTTCGGAGCGCCAACTCCTGTGGTCCGAGAGGTCCTCACACGGAGCTGCCTCCCGCTCCGAGGTGGATGAAGCCAGGTCCTAGGAAGCTTATTCAACTGTTGCTGGAGGTGCAGGAGGCTGTGTGGCTCCTGCTGCTCACTCACCCACAGGTGAAGCCCACAGGTGCCTACACCTACTCACAGAACACATCCAAGAGACCCCAAAGTGCCCCAAYTGGAGTAGCACAGGAGGGAGGGGACCATCAAGACCCACCAGCCACCCCCTGGAATAAATAAGTTTCCACTGCCACAGCTTAGTTCAGCAGAGGAAGACAGAGGCAAAAGCAGCCCCCGCCGCTACCCCCAGCCCTCCACAAGCTCAGACTGGGGAACTGGTGCTGTCCAGCCTTAGCTGCTAAGGGAGTGCAGCAGCGGCTGCACTGAGCACCAGGGCGAGACCCCGGAGGGGCCTTCAGCAGCCCCCCTGGCTGCCTCCCCCTCGCCTGCCCTGCCTGCCCTCGGGGCCCCAGCCTGGGAGGAGGCACTCGGCACACCCAGCAGCTGGATCAACTGCCCGGGGAGGTCTAGGACAAACAAACATCAATAAAACCAACTACATGAGGAAAAAAAAAAAAAAAAAATCAGAGCAAGTCCTGCAGGAAGGCAGGGCAGCACTGCACCCCTGCTTTTGCCAAGTGCTCTGCAGCCAGGAGCTCTCAGCAAGGCCAGCCGTGGCCCAGGCTCGCACTGCACGCAGGCTGGAGCCCCGGCCTCRCTCTGTTGTCAGACACCAACGCTCACCTGGAGCCGGCTGGGACCAAGCTGCAGCATTTGTGAGAAGCTGTGGGGAGGCTGCCCTGCAGCGGCCAGCTCAGGCTCGGTGCAGTTAGAGCCAGGAACAGGCCCTCGACTCATACGTGCTGTCCTTCAAGCAGATGCTCCGAGGAGGAAGCGATTCCCTCTCGGGCTCCCCTCCCGACCTGGCCGATGGGATCCACGTGCCCAGAGCCTGTCTCCGCTGCGCAGGGCTCAAAGCTCTGCTAGCTCCAGAGGAAGTGGCTGGAGTGAGGAAGCTGCAGGAGCAAGTGCACCTGGGTTCAACTTTTCTGGTTCAGGAGCCAAGAGAAGAGCAGTTTCCTGGGCCTGGGCTTGCCGGCCTGCTGGATGCGCACGGTGCGAGGAGAGCGCCACACCTTGATGGTYGCGTCGTCGCTGGCCGTCAGCAGCAGCTCCTGCTCAACTGGGCTGAACGCAACCGAGTTGACCACGTTGTCGTGCTGCAGCTTGGCCAGGCAGATGTTGTAGTGCCGGTCCCAGATGTAGCCGTGACGATCCTCCGCRCCGCTGCAAAACACAAGACACCAGTGAGGACGTTACCCGACAGCTACGTTTGACCTGCCCGCTGTGTGTGCGGAGAAGCCTCCCTCTGCTCTCTTGGCATCCCAAGAGCACTGCAGCCTGGGCAGGCAGATTCCTTCTGGGATCCAGACTCTGCCATGGACACAGCTGGGTTTCCAGAAGCGGAGCCTAGAACAAGGCCTCACGGCAAAAGGAACTTGAGACAYGCAGGTGGTGGGGTCGACAGCCTGAGTTTACCGCTGGGTTTGCCAGTAAGTGCTGCAGTGTGAACTGCCCCGTTTTGCTGCTTTTTTTGATTTTTGCAGCACTTCRTCACCCCCAGCCCCCAGAAGGGCCATTTGCCACCCACTGCCAAACACGTCCAACCCACCCTTTCCTCCTCCCACAGGGATCTTGCAGCAGCCCCGCAGAGGTGGCCTCCATTAGCACATCCCCCCCGCGCCTGGTGATTCAGCCCCTGTGCTCTTCACCCAGCTCCAGGTCCCTGCTCTGCCCACAACACACAGGAATTTCCTGCCCCTAGACTAGCCCTGCCTGCACAAGCCAGAGCCCAGACCCCTCCGAGCACAGGGCTCCTGCCCATCCCAGCCCTACACACCTGGCTACGAAATCCCTGCTGACATCCAGGAAGATGAAGAAACACTCCTCGTTGGGGGTGTAGGCCCGATGTGCACGAAGGGCTCTCTTCACCTCCTTCATTGTCTTCAGGTCGAACACGTGCAGATCGATCTCCTCGGCAATGGGAGGGGGCTGCATCGGGTCCGAGATSACGCAGTCCCGAGGCCAGGCCCGGCTGTTCACGTACAGGTACCTTGGGGAGAGGAGCGGTGCGGAAGGGTTGACCCTACACCTTGCTGCACCCTCACAAAACTCGGAGCCCCTGCTCTGAAAGCCGTGCTCACAGCACTGCAGGGCAGCAACAGCTTTGCTGGTCCCTACCAAGGCTGCAGCTCTCAGCTCTGCCAATAAAACCCAGTCTGCAAGAGGGGAACATGTTCCTAAAGCGCTACAGAACCTCTTCCTGCCCTGCTTGGCAAGCAAAGGGCCACCACAACTGGGACTATGCCCCAGAGACAAGGTTGAACTTCTCTGGCTTTATTAAAACCAACTCCAAGCACAGTCAGATGTTCTGCAGCCACTGGTCTGCCCCAGGGACAAGGCTGGCTGCTGTGGGCAGCATCTTGACTCCCTGCCCGACTCCTAACCTGAAACGGGCTCAGCTGAGCAGAAGGAGGTGAGATTCCCCGCCAGGATCTGCAGAGACACTCGACCGTTCACGCGTTCAGCACGAGCAGGCTCCTCGCTCCACGCAGGAGCTCACAGAGCAGCAGCACCAGGACTCCCTCCCTTGGCAGGGGCCCCTCCTGCAGCCTGAAACGCAGCAGGGCCAAGTGCCCTTTCAAGGCACGATGCCTTTTCCAGAAGGCAAAGTTCACTGCTGGCATTCAGAGCACAGCGAATGCTCAGTGTCCTCTCTGCCGTGTGTACAGACAAACAGGTCCCTGGGACAATCCCAGTCTAAGGCACTTGAGGAAGACACTCCAGCTACTCCACAAGCTGTTCTGCTTTTTCTGGCTGTAAAAGTAGCAGTCTACCCTAAGCTGGAATTCCTCAGCCCAGCTCCAAAGCCCGGGAGGCTCCTCCCTCGGGAGTGGCTTCTTTCTCCCCCTCACGCCCGGACCCCGCTGAGCGCCCGCGCAGCCAGCAGGGACCCTGCTGCCGCCCCCCGCCCCGCTCACCTGTGGTCAGGGGAGAGGCCCATGCCGATGATGTGCCCGTGGATGTCAATGACGTGATCTAAGGAGTCGAAGAACTCGTCCGAGCGCCTCTCCTCCCCGAGCACCGGCCCAGCCGTCGTCATCTGGTGAGGCAGGATCCTTTTAATCCCTTGGGGRCAGAAAGCGGAGTCAGTGCACCCTGCAGGTGCTGCCAGCACACAGGAGCACTGATGCAAGTGCCCAGGCCCCAGGGAAGGGCTTCCCTTAGCGCTGCTAAGGAAGCAGAACTGCCTCACTTCTGGCAAGGGGGAAGGGTCTAGGACAGGGCTCCTGTCCCTGCTGGGAGCCTTCAAGCTCTTGCCAGTGGGGCTTCTGGCCACAAACAGGCACATAAGTGACTCTGGCACATTTAACCCCTGCCAGCAAGACCCTCACGCTCTGCTGCCGCCCCCTTGGCGTGGGGCACCCACTGCTGCTGCCGCATCTGCCCCGAGCCCAAGGCCAAGGTGGCCCCGAGGTCCTGAGCTCCTGGGAAGCACAGGGAGCTCTGCCGGCCRTGGAAGGGCTTCCCCTCAAATGAATCCTTGGCCTTGGCCCCTCTCCTCTAAGCGCCAGCCTAGAGGCTCTTCCCACTGCCAAGGGGATCAGCCGGCCAAGCTGCAATAACAGGGGCTTCAGCCCCCGGACTCGGTCAGTTCACAGGTTCTGTGGGTCAGGGTCCTCTCCTTCCGCAGCTCCACAGAGGGCCTGGTCTAGGAGAGCTCCCTGGATGATCACAAGCTCCAGCAGTTCTTGGGGAGATGTGGCCTCAGTGTTCTCAGGACATACAAGAGAAAGCAGGAAATGGCCCGTTACCCTTTGGAGAGCATCACTGCTCAACACCCTCAATTTTGGYCCTCTCCAGCAGCCAAAGGAGATGGGAGTAATGCCCCATCACACCTCAACTCAGGGCCATTTATGAAGCCACTGCAACTGAACAAAAGCAAGTGAAGGACTTCGCAGAGTCATAATGCTGGAAAAAACCTTTCAAGATAAGGTTTTTAAGATAAGTTCAACCAAAACCTGCTCAACATGAAGCCTTCTAAGCCATATCCCTGCTAAACCATGTCCCTAAGCATCTCATCTACATGTTTCTTCCTCACTGCCAGGGATGGTGACTCCACCGCTTCTCTGGGTAGCCYCTTCCAATACCTCACCACTCTTTCTGTGTAGAAATATTTCCTAATATCTCACCACGAGAGAGATTTTTGAGTTTTCCAGCCCACTTGTCAAGTCTCCCTGGCTCCTCCTCCCTCATTTGCACAGCACCAGAGAATCCCACGATCCCATAGCTCCGTGAGCTCCGCACGCAGACGCCAGCGCGACAGGCAGCGTCGGCCCCACAAGCAGCCCCGGGGAAGAGCAGCTTGCAGGCAACGCCCGCGCGAGACGCGCGCAGCAGCAGCCCGGGCCCCGCGCAGCAGCGAGCAGCGGCACAGCAGCCCGTCCCTTCAGGCAGCAGCTCCCCGGGGGCASAGAGCACCCGCGCACAGGCTGCTCCCACACAGACCTAGGGGCGAAGGGAGCGTTTTGCCACCGCTGGCGGCTGGGAGAGGAGCCGAGGCAGGCTCGCCCCTCGAGCAGCCAGTGTCCGCGCGGGTGCCGGCTCCGGGCATCGCTGGAGTTCCGAGGCACCAAAACCCACGGCCACGGGAGGCCCTGGCGCAGGCGGGGGAGTGCACTGCCAGCGGCTCCCCGGGCACGAGGCTCCGCGCGGGCACACGGGGCCCCGGCGCTGCACGCCGGCCCAGAGCCGCTCGTGACGGAGCGGCGCGAGGCTCGGCCCAGGCCGCGCTCCCACCCGCGTGGGGAGAGCGCCGGCGGCTTCTCCAGGCTGCCCACAGCCTCGGAAGGAGCCTTTCCCGGCAAACTATCCCATCTTATTCAATTGTTCTGGTAAAGACCAGAGAGCAGAAGGGTTAGAAGAGCAGAAGAGGAAGGAATAGCACCAGCAGCAAGAGCAACTCCATCTGCCTTGTTTTAGAAGAAACTGTGTGAGCAGCTCTCCTTCCCTCCGCATGTTTTACTCATCTGCCTGGTCCTTTCCATTGTGCTTCTAGGCTAGCTCTCCAGGGCATCTGAGCAGTAGCCACAGCATCCAGCCCTGTTCACCACCACATTATTTTACCACACTGTCAAATTCTTCTAGTTCCAGTGTCCCAACAACAGAGCCCCRAATAAGGAGGGAAAGTCCTAATCCAGAAAAAAAGTTCCCCGCAGCACTGTTGCTTAGCTAGTGCTGCAACTACAGACCTGTACCCTGCCGAGCAAGCGGAGGCCAAGAGCCAGCAGGCTGCCCGCAAGCACACCCTCACCGTGGAGATGTTTGCTGAAGCATCTCACCACCTACAGCAGACAGGCAGCAGTTCAGCTTGCAGCCCAGGTGCCYCGCTGCGGCCCGGAGCGGCGGGATGTGGCATTAAGCAGTGGGCAGCGCGGGGGGCAGCTTGGCTGTGCTCCCCTCAGAGCCGGCTGCAAGGGCAGACAAGGCCCTGTCCAGAGCTGAGGGTTGCTGCATAAGCAGCACCCAACTCCAAGCTGCTCAAATCTGCCTTCTTGGGAAGCCCTCTCCACAACGGAGCCAGGGCCAGGACCCTCCTGCGAGTCCATGTCAGGACGATCACTGTCCTTCACATTCACTTGCTTGGCACAACTTGTGACTGATGCTGTAAAGTCAGGAATTTGTTCCCAATCTTTTCCTTAGCCCTTGCTGTGAGCTTTCCACCTGGTTGAGTGTCAAGTGTGGCAGAAACAAAACAGCCTTGAAGCAAGTGCTTGAGGCTTGAAACTCCTGCAGTTACTGCAGGCATCTAACAAGCCTTCTGCATCAAGACTCCATCAGCCTGAGCAAAACTGCAGCTCATCCAGTGCCGAGCACAAAACTGCAGCTCAGATGCAAGCAGCAAATCCCAGGTAAAGACACAGGTATTTTCCAAGTAGAAATGCGGAACGCAGTTGCAGGCAGACCCAGCCTGTGCCCCCAGCTTGCTGGTGTGCCCTGGGGCTCAGAGCACAACCTTACCTATCTGATGKGGAGAATAGGTGAGGCATCCTGTGGTGAAGATCAAGTATTTTATCTTGCTACTGCTGTCCGTGGGGAGCAGGTTGGGCTCGGGCGGTTTAGTTCTGTTGCGTATGAACAGCTCAGCCACCCGCGTCTCCAGCTCGCTCTCAGTCATGGCAGCCCTCACGCGGCCCTCCATGATATCGTCGAAGAACTGCTGCAGCCCGTCCTCTGCGGCTACGTCCCCGTCGTCCGGCTGCTCCTGTCCTGCTGGCTCTGCAGTCTGCTGGGGCTTGGCCTCTCCCTCCTCACTGTCACTGCCCAGATCAAAGATGGGGCAGGGGGAGGTGGAAGACGCTGCCAGCTGCTCCTCGTAGTCCAGCAGCAGGTCGGGCGAATCGTACCGGCTGCAGTCGGCCACCATCACGGTCCGGATGGTGCTGGCATTCAGGTTCTGGATTTTAAACAGCCTCTTCACTACATTCACGTTCTCAGACTCTATACCCTGGAGGCAAGAGAYGGGTAAGCAGGAAGCACCTCCTTGGAGACATGTTGATCCTACCGCTTCTGCTCAAAGAGCGGAAGGCACCCGCGGACACAGGCACCCCCAGGGAAGCAGCCACTCCTCTCAGCACTGCTGTCTGGGTGCTCCAACACTGCGGATCACCAGGACCGGTCCGAGAGGGCGGCCAGCTCCACTGCGCTCCCTGGAGCGGGGAGAGCTGGGACAGGCAGGGCCAGGTTTGGGGCAACAGCAGCCGAGCTGGAAAGAGAGGCCAGGCAGCCTCACTCCCACCTCCCTGCCCGAGCTCCCTGGCAGGCACAGCCCGTTGCACAACAAGAATTTCAGGATCAGGCCTCTATGCTAAACAGGTGCAGCACAAGGCACCAGCCGCCAGCTCCTGTGCACATCCCACAGGGAATCGGCCCTGTCCCAGAGCCCAGCCACCAGCAGCAGCCCCCTGGCCAGTGTGGAGCTCTGACAGGCTGCAGGTGGCAACGGCCCTGCCGAAGCAGTCAGGGCCCTTTCTGGCCTCTCRGGGATGGAGGATTTAATGCTGTAGCATCAATGCAGCACAGGCATGTGGCTATTGAGTTACTGCAATGCAACAACAGCTATAGAGGATTTAACTTAGGGTCAGTACCAAAGCTTGGGGTCAGAGGAGGAACAGGACGTGTGACATTCTGTGACAGAMGCAAGGTGGGAGGGGGAACATGCCTCAATCTTGACGGCAGTGGCACAAGTGGCTGAAAACAAGCAAGCAGACAGCCCGTGMCCGGTGCAGCCTGGGCTCTGGGTCTCAGCACAGCACAGACAGCACCCAGCCCATAGAAGTCCCAGGCAGCGGCAGCAGGGCTAAGCTCAGCCTCCCACCAGGGCACTGCACCAGCTGCCAGGCGGTGGAACCGGCCCGGGTACGAGCCYGTTCGCAGCCCCGGTGGGCCCGGCTTTAGGAGCTGCAGTTGCTCAGCAGTCCTGCTGGGGTGCCCCCTCCCCACTTCTGCGAGAGAAGCTCTAGGACCCTGCACTCAAGTTCTTACCCCTATTAAGAGAAAGGAAAAGGAGGAAGCAGAGGGGCAGAAGCTGAGGCCACTGCAAAGGATGCCACAATGCTAAGACCTCACACAAGGTCACACATGCTAAAGAGCCCAAGATCAAGCCAGGTGAGACAAACTGAGAAGACAGGGAGGCTCAGTCATGTTTCCTTCTCACACCTGCCCACCTTTTCCTCCCACTAGAGCCAGCGGGAAGCTGCAGCACCCGCAGAGCAGAACGAGTCACCTCACCTGGAAAGCGTTGTTCAGCCACAGCACGGAGCAGGACGTTATACGCCCGATGCGGTGGAGGTTGCCAGAAATCAAGTTGGTTTCATTCAGCCAGCAGCCAAACACATCGTAGGGTTTGTTTCTCACCCTAGAGAGGAGCGTGAAGTTCTCTGGAAGGCAAAGGAGACACAAGCATGAGGCGACAGCTCCTTACAAGGACTCTGGAGATGGGAAGCAGATCCACGTCTTGGCACCGCATCAGCGCCTCTGCTGCTGTTAGCCTTTAGTGGAAGCTGGGCAGACACTGCCAGCTTCCAATCACTGCTRCAGACATTGGTAATTCCTCTCTTCCATAGGCATCTAGGGGGAGGGCATGCACAAAATATAAGGGCAATCCTATGGAGTCAAACCCGAGAGCCATCAAGCCTCATGTCCCTTCTCCAAGCATGGCCCAAAGCAGCACCCCAAGGACAAGAACAGATCAAACAAGCATCGCAACTTAGCGCCCTCCCAGCCTCCTACCACGGTGGCCCAGGGCCTTTCTGACCATCAGAGTCGTGCATTTAGCAACGCTCATTAATTTTGGCATAGCAAATAGGACCGCAGCAGAGGAACAGCGTAAGACAAAACAGCTGGAATTAGCAGGGATCAYGAAACTAGTGCAGAAAAGGCAGAGCAGACCAGGATGGCTGTAGTTCAGAAAGCCACATGGGACCTCCAGGGGGACCAGCCAGCAAAAAGGGTGGCCTAACAGGTAATATTCTAGGGGGGTGACATGACCACCTGCAAAAATAACTAGCTAACATTAGCCAGGAATTTTACCCTATGGCACTGTGAGATAAAGACCTCTTAGCACAGATGCAGGACAAGCAGAAGTCAAGGCCACAGCAAACATGAAGAGCAAGGAGAGGAAGGGAGCCCTGGCACCAGTAAGAACAGTGGAGGGAGGCAAGGCCATTAATTACCCATACTGATTACAGCAATCTCTCCTGATGAGGAGTTGTGAGGTCCCACAAAGACACCGGATACCAGGAGGAGGGAGTCATCTGAGTTGAACTGGGAGAACTGTGTGTAGCTCCAGTTGTAAGGCCTCATATTGGAGCTGTGCTGCAGGGAGATGTCCAGCTCATTGCTCCAGATCTAAAGACAGATAAAGAGGCAGTTATGGAGCCAGGCTGAAGCCTGACAGTTCTTCTGCTTTATCTGTCCTGCCAGCACTCACCAGGGAAAAGAAAAACAAAACCTCCACTCCCTATTTGCTTTCACATTCCTGATGTGAAAAAGAACCAACAGTTTTGGAGAATAATGCAGAGTTGCTTCTCTATCAGTGAGCCAAGCAACAAGTGCTATAGCTGGGCAGTATGCTGAGAGATATTTTCAGTATGCTGAGAGATTTCTCACAAAATAATCATTCACAAAAGACCACTATCCCCAAGGTCCCCGCTCCATCCACAGCTCGGAGAGGGACTGATGCACAGCTAGAAGATGCACAGGGCTGGGCAGGCACCGCCAGCACCTTCAGACAGGCAAGAGCTGGAATCCACAACACTCGAGGCTGCATTTGCAAGACTCGTTAGTTCTGTGGCTTTGAGGACAGCTGGGCATCTGCAGGAACAGATGCAAGTCCAGGTTAAACCTCTCCACTCCACAGACTTTGTAAAGGGGCAGGGCRCTCAGGGCCAAGCCCGGCTCCGTGAAAGCTGGAAGGCTCGTGCAGGGCGCAGCCACGTTACCTTGACAGTGCAGTCCTTGGAGCACGAGGCGAACAGGCAGCCCGAGTGGGAGAAGCTGAGGTGCAGAACCTGGTCGCTGTGCTCCTTCAGAGCCTGCACTTCCACGCAGGGGATGGTGTCGTAGAGCCTCTGGAACTCGTCGTACCAGGAAACGGCAGCTGCAACACACGGCAGGGGCCCAGGTGGGAGAGAGGAGACGTGAGCGAACGGCAGCAGCCAGGGAAGGCRTCTCTAGCACAGCAGCTCCCCGGCTGCTCTCCGCTGCGCCCGAGACCCCCCGGCTCCAGCCCCCCCTAGCAGGGACAAGGCCCGTTCCCAGCAGCCTCCCCAATCCCCCACAGAGCCCCCTTTTCTCAGGGAACACCCAACTCCTCAGCACATCGCTCCCTTCTAAACCCTTTGTAAGARGCGGCAGGGCACAGCTGTTAGGTAAGAGCTGTTCACTAAGAGAAAAACATTTCATGGACAAACCAGCAGCTGGAACTGCAGCTGTTCCCCAGCAGAACAAAGTCACCCTATGATGAAAGCTGTTCCTGGGGTACTGGGCCCTGTCCCAATCACCTCTGTCTCATGCACCACAGAATTAGGGATGCAGAGGGCATGTGCCTGACAAAGCTCCAGGAGATAAAAGACTGGGGAAAACAGGAGAGGAAAACTAGAGCTAGGCTTATGTCAGGACTGAAGAGGAATCTTGCAGYAGATGAACTTGGAGCTTGCCCAGGGAAGTCCTACCAGGAGCAAATAAATCACATTTTTAAAGAAGTGCCCAGTAGGGCAACCTACAGATTCCAGGCAGCAGTAAATCCTGGAGAAGCAGAGAGACATTCACAGCGCTCGTGGCTGGCCTGCCTAGCTACCCTGCAGAGGTTTTTGGAAGTCTCCTCCTGCAGCCCAGGGAGCTGCCGGAACATCCCGACACTGCTCCCTGTGCAGGGGGCTCCCCACGCAGACTCCGCAGCCCGGACACATCCCACGTGGCCTGGCAGCTCCAACATTCCCGCTTGTGGGACCCCTTGGATGCCATTGGCCCACCCGCAGAGCTGCCGCACACCGGCGGGCGGTTTCCCAAGCCCCGGCTCAGCCCTGGCACCGGCCACGGGGCAGCCTCCGGGGGGAACGGCTGTCCCGCCTCGCCAACAGGCCGCAGACGCCCGTGGCCCGGCCCGGCAGCGCCCGGCCCCGCACAGCGGCAGGGAGCCGAGGGCGGCGCGCGGCCCGCGGCGGCTCTGCCGGGCACGGGGCCGCTGCCAGCCTTCCGGGGCCGGGCGCGCGAGCCCGGGCGCGCACCTGGGTGCCGCGGCACCTCGCGGGCCACGCGGTAGTAGCGGTAGAAAAGCTCCCTCCAGAGGAAGTCGTCGCGGGCCACGGCGCGCCACTGGCGGCACACGAGCGCGGCGGCCAGCACGTCCGCGTGCTCCAGGTACAGGAAGATCTCGTAGAGGACGCTGTCCGGGAGCAGGGGGCCGCCGCCGCCCTCCATCGTGGCATCCTGCCGCGGCGCCCGCACGGAACGCGGCTGCGGCTCCGGTTGCGGCTCCGGTTCCGGCTCGGCTCCGGTTCCGGTTGCGGCTCCGGTTCCGGTTCCGGTTGCGGCCCGGCCGGCCCCGCCGCGGCCCGAGCGGCGCCCGCGCCGGCCCCGCCTCCCCCTCGCACCGCCTCCGGGCGCCGCTTCCGGCCGCCTCCGGGGGCTACTTCCGGCCCGGCTTTTATGCGCCGCTCCGGCCGCCCTCTCGGTGCCGCCCTCCGTCCAATCACCGCGCGACTTTCCTTTCCCAGGCAGGAAACATCGAGCCCAGAACTCTTCCCCCGTTCCGCCCTCGACACCCCAGGCGCAGCTAGCCGAGCTCTGCCCGCTCGCTCCGCTCCCTAGCGCCCCTGCAGGTGGGCTTCGCCTCACCCCTCAGCGCACAGGCCACGCCCCTTTGGGATCAGACCACGCCCCTCCACCCCAGGCCACGCCTCCACCCCAGGCCACGCCTTTACCCCAGGCCACGCCCATTCGGGCTTAGGCGCCGCCCCCTGCCCGCAGTGGCGCCGCGGGGGGGCTCGAGGCTGGGGCGCGGGGGCCATTGGGGACCCCCGGGCGCAGGGGCACACTGGGGCACTGGGGCCATTGGGGCCCATGGGGACACGGGGGCATCGGGGACACTGGGGCCCATGGCAGGGCCAGGGCTGCTGTCACCCAGGGACCCGTCCCTCCAGCGTGACCCCCCGGCCACCGGGCAGGGCTCCAGGCGGTGCCGCTGCCCTGACCCACCAGCTCCCGTCCCCACGTCCCGCACACCGGACAGGGCACCATGGCGCCCCGCGCCGCCCTGCTGCTCACCGCCCTCCTCCTCGTGCTGGCCGCGTCGCGGGGGCAGAAGCGGGGCCGGCGCCCCCCGGCCCCCAGCCCCATCGAGAAGGTGGCGGCTCAGGAGAGCCTCAGCCTCCCCCAGGTGAGGGGCCGGGGCGGTTCGGGACCRTCCTGTCCCGCGCGGAGGCAGGGCTGGGGGCACCTGTGGGGGGGCCAAGAGCCCTGAGATGCCGGGGGGCTGCGGGGTGCCCCTCACTGCCATCCTGTCCCCCCCCAGACCTCATGTCTCCCGCAGGATGTGGCCAACGTGTCACCCCAGGTCTAGTGTCCGCGCCGCGGCAGGGCTCGGCGGTCCAGGGACCCGGTCCAGCGGCCCTGTCCCTGCCGGGTGCCCCCGCGTGTGCCCCGGTACCGCAGGGCTGGTGCCAGTGTGGGGCGCTGGGTGCCACGCGCCGTCCCCGGGGCTCGGGAGGCCTGCGGAGGGTGACGCGCGGGGCAGGTTCCAAAGGGCGAGCGCGGCCGCCAGCCCTGCCGCYGCCGCTCCACGTTGCCCCGGCCTCGCGCGGGGCGCCCGGTGCCGCTTTGCAGCCCCTRTCGGGGTCCCCCGCGGGAGGGGGCGTCCCCCGGCCCTTGGGGCTGGTCCCCCTGCTGCCCCCGACCGCGCGCGGCTCTCGCCCTCGCTGCCGCTGTGGGGCTTGGGGCGCCTTGGCCATCCCGCTCAGCTGTGCCCGTGCCAGGCAGCGCCCGGCTCGCTTGGCTCCCGGCCACCYCTTATCTGCCCGTCTCCGTGTCACCTGCCGGCTCCGAACAAAGGCCCTCAGTGAGCGGCGCCCCGGCCTGCCCAGGGGCCACGGCAGGGACGCCGAGCGAGGGGAAGCGCCACGGAAAGAGGTTCCCCGCGTGACCGATAGCAGCGGGCGCTGCCAGCTGGGGCTCTCGGCCAGGCCGGCGATGGCAGCGGGTGAAACGGGCGCTGTCCTGATGAGCCCGCAGCACCCAGCACTTGCTCTGGCCCCGGCCAGTTCCCCCCTGGAGCAGGATCCATCCCTCGGCCGGACACGCGCTGTGCCAGTGGGCTCCAGCGGGAGCACTCTGGCCCTGCAGGCAGCCCCGCACTGGGGCACTCGGGGTTCGGGCACCCCCGCAGCCGGGGGCTCCTGGCAGCGGGTGCCGGGCACGTGGGGCGCTSCGGGCCCAACCCTGTGCCGTGCAGTTCGCAGGGAAGTGGTTCCTGGTCGGCGTGGCCTCCCGCTGCAGCCACCTGGCCGAGCACAGCCACCGCCTGGAGGCGACCGCAGTGGTGGTGGCCCTCGAGGGGCACAGCGTGGCCATCAGCACCTTCAGGAAGCTGTGAGTGACACCGGCCCCCCGGGGCTGCAGGCAGGGACGGGGAGGCTGCTGGCGCCTCAGAGCAGGGCCGGGGGTGCGAGGAAGAGATGTGTCCCCAGGGGCTAAGCAGAGGKGGRGTCTCCACAGGGAAGCAGGAGGGATCAGAGGGCACTTGAGCTTGCCAGGTTTGGGGGCCCTAGGTCTCTCACTGCAGCCCCGCAGGGCTCTCGGGTGACCTTTGCAGCCTCTCTCGTCCTGCAAAGCAAACACGGCCTGCTTGCGCCCTGGCAAGTCAGGCGGCTGCTGACATGGCGTCCTGGAAGCCTCGCTGGCTCGTGCAGACCAAGTCCTTTTCTCCCCATACAGGGATGGGATATGCTGGGAAATCAAGCAACGCTACCTCCCTGGCAAGACCCATGGACGTTTTCTCTTAAAGGGTAAGGGATGCCAGGCAGGCCTGGTGTGGTATGAGGACTGTGGAGCCTCCAAGCCCTGCTCCTGGCCGGGAGCTCAGGTGTCTCCTGGTGTCCTCTTTCCCCAGTACTCTTCTAGTACCCCTGCCCTGGCCTCCGAAAGCGCTCAGGGCTGAGTGCCATCAAGCGCAGCACCAACCGGTGCRGGGCTGGTACCCTCTGGTGGGAAATGGCATCCCCAGAGGGGTACAGGATGCGCCCTGCTGCTCATCCCCTGGTAACCCCCTCTCATGATAAAGCTGAGGCCCCCAGATGGTGCCAGTCCCACCACATGCCCAAGAGGCGATGCTGGCTGTGCCTGGGAGCTAAGTGGCCTTTCCCTGTGCTATGGATGTCCCTCCTAGGCCGTGGCTACAGCAGCAAGGTGGACGTGGTGGTGGGGGAGACAGACTACAGCACTTACGCCATCCTCTATTACCAGAAGGGCCGGARCATCTCTGTCAAGCTCTACGGTGGGTCAACGCTGAGGGGCTGCTTTGGGGGCTGAGATGCATGAGTGCTGGTGGGTGTGTGGGTGCCAGGCACAGCACAGCTGCTCCAAATCGGGTTTGCTGTTGGGCAAGGCTGGGGCGAGGGGCTCATCCTGTTGCCCAGAACCCCAGGCTATGCCCCTTCCCTTTGGCATCTTGTTGCACTCAGTTCTCCAGCCAGAATGGGTGAGCTGGTGGCACCATGGCATGTACGAGCTGGTGGTGTCACATCCAGCACAGGTGAGTTGGGTCACGACTGGACTGGACCCAGGGGACTCAAAGGAGTGAGAGTGGCTTGGAAACAGTTGACCCATGCTGGACTCGGGGGATGCTGCCCTCCAGCCCCACAGAGGAGCTGGGTGTAAGGGTGTCCGTGGAAGAGCTCAGCACGGCCTTKTCAAATGAGGAGTTTTGTCCCCAGCTGCTCTAGCGGAATGGAAAGAGTCGCCCCAGAGCAAACCTTGCAGTCACTCAGAGGCAAATCCTGCTGGGTGAATCGAGATGTTTCTGCTTACTGGTTTGTGGCTTATCGGCCTTTGCGCGCTTGCTGCCTGGTGTCACGTTCAAATGAGAGGTCATTCCACGCTGGAAAGCTGCAGCTTTTTGCCCTGAGCATCAGCAGAAACTGCTGTGGTAGTGGCAAGGTTTTGTCACCAGCTTTTCTGAGCTCGAAAGCCCTTTGGCCCTGAGCCTCTGCTGCAGTGGGCCGGGAGAGCTGGGGGCTTTCTGGTGGGGCAGATGTCCTATCTGTCCCTCAAGGCCGCTCATGGCATGTGCTTCCCTCCSCTTGCAGGACGGGCCAGCCGGGTCAGTGATGCTGTTGCAGAAAAATTTGAGCAGCACGTCAGGAGTGTGGGCTTGGACGAAGACGTGACCTACTACTTCCCCACATATGGTAGGTGCTACACGGTCCCCTGGGAGCAGCAGGTGCCGATGGTGAGGGCTGTGCCCGAGGATCTGCAATGGGGGGCTGCGCTGCTGGCTCTTCCGACATGAGCAGCTTGTGGCTCCACATCACCTAGCAGTGGGGACATGTGGGGTGAAGGACAGGACTGTGTCCTAGTGGTGGCCGTGGAGTGAATGGTGGAAGTGTCCCAGGTGCGCAGGCAGGGTGACTGCCTTGGCCTCTCTCTGTTGCAGGGTTTTGCAACTCCGCGGATGAGTTCCACGTCCTCGATGGTGAGTGGCAGATCCCGGGAGAGACCCTGGACCCTCTCTATGCGCCGAGCTCAGGCCGGGCCATAKGGACCTACGTGGGGCCTGATGCCCAGCTCTGGAGCTGGCGGTGCCCGCCTGGGCTGGGCTGCACCAGCAGGGTGGTGGGTGCTACAATGGCTTGAGAATTTCTCAGCTGTCTCTTAGGCTTTCTTGAGGTGAGGACTAGTCTGTTCTGGGCTCTGGTGGCCTGTTCTGGGTGAGGGCTAATCTATGCCGGCATCTCCAGGGAGGGGACACCCTTGGATTAGTACTGGAATGCCCAGGGACAGCTCCATCATTTATCTTTGGGTGTTGGGGAGGTAGAGGTGAGTCTCCAGCCTCGCCATTAGGCTCTGATGTCTCCCCCAGCCTCTCAGCATCTCTTCTATTTCCAGAAACAGAGCTGTAGGTGCAGACGGCATTGCCCACAAGTCCCTGGAGCTCAGCCTGGATCCCTTCAGATATCTGCAGCCCCATCTGATGTGAGATGACGGCTGACCAGGCTTGGGTCAGACACCTCTGCCAGCTCCGCAGTCCTGGCATGAACCCTGAGGCTCCCAGCTCCTCCAGCTGCAAAGACAACTTGTCATGTCACCCAACAGCTCTGTGTCACCCCTCTGCTCTGTGCCCTTTGGCTCCTGCAGCAGCCAATGACATCCCAATAAATACCTTGCAAAGGGTCATTGCTTCAGATGTGTCACCCCTCACCTTGTCCCAGGTCTCCTGCCACAGAGAGGCCAGTACAGCCTTCACTTGGGGGTGAACTTGATGGCATCACCTCTGTGCCYAGCTTGGGGAACAAGCCCAGTGCTGCTGGGGGGAACCTGCAGCCCCTCTGCACAACCCTGTCCTCCCCACCCTGAGCCTGTCCCAATCCACAGGATGCCACAGCAGGAATCTTGATTTACTCTCAGGTCSCATCATTGGAGTAGTTCTATCTTACAGGTGAGGAAGTGCTGCGAGCTCAGTGACAGCAAAGCGTGGTGTCAACGCTGCACCCACTCAAAAGCCCGGTGCTTGGTGTTGTTGGGCTCTACAGGCCTGGGGGTTGATGAGGACATGCTCTGGAGTGGCTCTTCTCCCAGGACCAGTCAGGACATCCCTCACATCTTAAGGAGCTCTGAGGGGGAAAGCTCGGCCCTGCAGCGATCCCACCTCTCATCCCCAGGGCCTCTAGGACAGGGAAACACTCCCATTTTACCACCCCAGCTTTATGGAAGGTGTTTACCAAGGCGCTGCTACCATTTGGGGTCAGAGCACTGTTATATGCTATGATGAGCACTTCCCAATCCCTGCCGGACACTGGAGAGCCCAGCTAAAAGCAAAACCGAGGAAGCCTCTTGCTTGCCAGGAGAATCCAGTTCTCTGCAAAGGCCGCAGCAGGATTGGAGCCAGCGACACAACCAGGATTTAGGGGCTGGATCCTGTCAAGCATGGGGCCGAAGCCCCTCGCGAGACCCCTTTCTCCACCAATCCGACCCGCACGCATCCCGGTGGAGGTCTGCCATGGCACCCGTCCTCCATGCGCTCCGGAGGCAGACCGATGAGCGGCACCAACGTTGTGCCGCAGGCCGGGAGGTCCCGGAGGGCAGGGCAGCGCGGGCCGCCGTGCTGGGGCAGCCGTGGGCCGCAGGGCTGCTTACGTGCAGGCCCTCCGCGCGAGGCCCGTTGGGCGCCCAGCCGCCCCGCAGCCCCCGCCGAGGGAAGCGGCCCTCTGCCTCCGGCGGGGGCGTTTTGCAATCTTAGCGGAAACCATTAACACATGTTGTTTATCAGCAGAGTTACATAAGGGACGGCCATGTGACGCCGCGGCCGCCGGCCCCCGGTAAAACCGGCCATTGTCCCTGCTGCCACGTGCGAGGTGCCCGTGTCCGCCCGGCCCCAGTCCCCCCGCCCGCCGGGCTGCCCCACAGAGCCCGCTCCCCTCCAGGGTGGCTGCCATCTGGGGGGGGTGGGCACATCAGCATGGGGGGTGGACGGGGCCTTTTGGGTCTTCAGGAGATGAGCAGTGGGTRGGAAGCCCCCTGTGACCCTCCGGAGCCCCTGCGAGTCGGCCTGCCCCGGCAGCGGCTCAGCCTGTCCCACACTGCCCATGTCCCCACATTCCTGCGCTGGCACCAGGCTGGTGCCACCTTTGTAACCGAGCACTGTGGGGCACCCCAAAGCACCCACCCTGCCACCGAGTCAGGGGCCGTGGGCAGAGGGCTGGCCCTGCCCCAACACAGCGCTCCGGGGACACGCAGGGATCCTCCCGGCCTCCAACGCCCACCAGGAGAGAAGTTTCCCCAGTGCCACCCGCAGCTGCCACCCAGCACCCCGGGGTGTCGTGGGCCTGGGGCTGCCGCCCGTCCCATGGCAGCAGGCCCGGCCGGGCTCTCGTGACGCTCCGGCCTGCCCGGCTCAGCTGCTGTTTTGTTTTCCTGGAGCTGGGGCCCGCGTGGCCCCGGGCGCCTTTTGTGCCGCTGGGGAAGGAGCGGCCCAGCTGGACACGGGGAAGGGAATGTGCAGGGCCCTGGTGGGCTGCCGAGAGGGAATTAAAAAAAAACAGCTGCTGTAAAAACAGGCTCCTTATGTAAAGGGTCTTGGCAAGGCCGGGGAGCTGCCGGCAAGAGGCCAGAGCCCTGGCCAAGGCGGTGGGGATGTCCGAGCCGGGCAGGCCCTGCTGCCGCGGACACCCCCAAGCCTGGGACCCGCCGGCATGGCGCAGGGTGTGGGCCCCGCGGCCGCCTTTCCGCCGGGCACGTTGCTCTGCGTGGAGAGCCACCGGAGTGCCGTGCCAGGGCTGCACGGTCAGACCCTCCCCAGCACGGGCACTGCGTGCAGGCCAACGTCTCCAACACGCGGCTGTGGGGCACCAGAGCCCCTTGGGGACCAGGGGAGCTGGGCCCCACAGCCAYATCCTCAGGTGTGACCTGTGCCATCCAACCTGGATTTGGGGGTGTCACRGGACCACAGGTCCCTGAGCGCAGGAAGTGTTGGAGCTGCGATAACACCTCCTGCCGGCAAGGTACGACAGGGATCAGGGCTGTGAAACCACACTGGGCCTCTGGAATTGCGGAGTCCCAGGGGAACGGGCAACCATGATGGCCATGGTTGAGCTTTTCTCTTCTTATGAAACCTCTGGAGGCCCATGGGACCTGGGACGGGCGCAGGGCCAGCCGAGGTGCTCCTTTGGGCAGTGCAGAGACCTGGGTCAGGTTGAAAGCAAAGACCCACAGGAGTGCCCAAAGTGGCCKTGGGTGTCCCGTGTCGGATCTCAACACCGCACACATCCAGCGTCCCCTCTGCATTGCTTTGGCCCTGCTCTGAACCCGAGCAAGGCTTCTCTGCCAGGAGCAGGGCAGTCGGCCAGCCCCGGCCCTAGGTCCTGGCCACTCCAGGTGGCCCTGGCCCCCTTCCCGTGCTAGTGGCCCGTCCTGGCTCTCCCTGCACCGGTCCCAAGCTTTCCACTGCACCAGAGCGAAGGGAGCGGGGGGCAGGGACAGCTGCTAAACTGGCTCCAAATTGTGTTTTTACAGCAGGGAGCTTTGGCACCCGGAGGCAAACATCAAAAATCAACAGGAGGGGAAAAATCCGCTGCTTCCCAGGCTGCACTCGGGATTCGGCACTCACCCCTGCTCTCACTTGCATAACAGCGCGGGGGGAGACGGGGCTGGCCTGCCCCCAGCGCTCGCCCCCCGGGGCCATCACACAGCCTGCCCATAAATAGAGAGCTCTCCCGAAGCGACGCATTGCCTGGACTTGGCTCTGCATTGCCTGAACTCGGCTCCGCATTGCCTGAACTCGGCTCGGCGCGGCGCAGGGACGGCCAGGGCACTGGGAGACATGCAGGCCACGCTGCTCAGCATCTTGGGGCTGGCCCTGCTCGGGGCRCTGCATGCGCAGGAGGGTGTCCCCGTGCAAGCYGACTTCCAGGAGGAGCAGGTGAGAGCCGCCGCGCYGGGCTGGGGGTAGCTCGGGGCGGACAYGYCGTGGRGATCGTCTCCCYGCAGCCGTGGGGATCGTCTCCCCGCAGCCGTGCGGAGGGTGTGTTACAGATGGAAGCCAGGACCGGGCTCTCCCAGGATCTGGAAGGAGGAGAGCAAACAATCCAACCTTAGCTCCCTGTCCTTTGGCTACTCTGGGTTTCTGGGGTTCTGTTTGGTGGACCTCAGTTTGGTGGGTGTTTCTATAGGTGCACGGGAGTCCTGGAGGGAAGGGCTGAGAAAAGCAGGTGTGGTTTGACAGATTGCATGAAAAGGGGCCACACACGACCCAACATAGCCCCCGAGCCACCCTCGGACAGAGGTCTCAAGAAAACACGGCTGCTGTGCCGGGGGGTTCCCAAGCACCTTTCTGCCCTCCCCAGCACCCCCAGCCAGGTGCTGGCGCGCGTGGGGTCTTAGTGATCCTCCTCTCCCTGTGTCGGCAGAGGAAGGCAGCTGTAGGCAGCGGCGAGACGGGTCCCAGCCTCTTGGCCTCAGCCCTGCAGGGGGAAGAGCAGCTTCACCCTTTGCCGGGGACCTGCGGGATGCAGCTGCCTCGGGAAGGTGACAGGGCTGGAGGGGGATCCTGCAAGGACAGRGTCTGCCTGGACATGTCCCTGCTGAGCCTGCTCATCCTGCCGGTGCTTGAGGCCAGGCCATCTCCCACACCTGCAACCAGCAGCTCCTCCGGTCCAGGTCCTCCAGGCTGATGGCCCTGGGGAGCGGGCTGGGCTGAGCAGGGCAGCCCTCGAGACAGTGGCACTGGCCCCTGGCCCCGGGCTGGGCTGMCAGGGGTCCTGATCACCTGCCCCTCACCTCCGCAAGCAGAGCCACGCGCCGCAGCAGCTACTGGGCCRCTCTTTGTGTCCCTAGGCAGATGCCAGCAGCGTTTCTGAGCCGCACGTTCCTGCCCTGCTGCCTGGGCATGGGGCAAATGGGAAGAAGATGCCCTTAGTGCTGAGCAATGAACGGCATGATGTTCACAAAGGGGACTCCCTGCTTCTGGGTTTTGTGGAGACCAGGAGTTCGGTTGGACCTTCCAAGGGCTGAAGGAGTCCCCTGGGTGCTGCGGATGCCAGGACACAGTCCTGCCACTGGGCGTAGACTGATACGGGATGTGCAGCGGGTGTCAGGGTGGGCAGGACGCAGCATAACTGCCAGGCTGCAGCTGAGACGAGTGTGTGTGCAGTTCACAGGGAAATGGTACAGCATCGGCCTGGCCTCCAACTCCAACTGGTTCAAGGACAAGAAGCACCTGATGAAGATGTGCACCACGGTCGTCTCAGCCACTGCCGATGGCAACCTGGAAGTCACTTCCACCTACCCCAAGTGCGGACAGGCAACGTGATGGGTGAACTGCTGGCACCAGGGGACATGGGGGCAGCCCCAGACCACTATATCCAAGGATCATCCTGATCCCTGCACTTCCCTGACCCCCCAAAGTCCTTCCTGGTGGGTGGTAGGTGCCCTTGGGGTGGTGGGGAGCCTCATCCTGCCAGGTACCAGTTGCTCTGTCTTCACAGGTCCCACAGCGTGTTGTTGGGTGCTGGCAAGGGCTRGCGGTGGTGATGTTTCTCCCATGGCCACATAGGGAGCCCCTGTCCAGCCCCTCAACCACCTTGCACTTTGCTTCCCAGGGCTGATCGGTGTGAGACGAAGAACAGCCTTTACATCAAGACAGAGCAGCCAGGACGGTTCAGCTACACCAGCCCACGTGAGTGTCTRGCCAGGGTCCCAGCACATCCTTTTGCAGACAGGATGATGCCAGGACATCCCGGGCAGTGCTGCCCGAGCTCCTGGCCTGACACTGGTACTAGCTGAGCCTGGTGCTAGCTGCGTGCTCTATGCCCTTGCTGAGGCACAGAGGCAAGCGGCAGTGCCTGGGGTACCGGGCTGACACGTACCCTCTCCATCTGCTGCAGGCTGGGGCAGCAAGCATGACATCCGCATCGTGGAGACCAACTACGACGAGTACGCCCTGGTGGCCACTGAGATCTCCAAGAACAGCGGCACCTCCACCATGGTGCTGCTCTACAGTACGTTTGCACCAGCKCTGGGTGCACCAGCACGTTGCCCACCACTCTGCTCCCTGATGAGCAGGCACTCCTGAGATTTCCTTGTCTGGGAGATCTTTCCCATGGGAGAAGGGTGGCAGGATCTCCCAGGGTTGGGTACTCAGCCCAACAGTTGGGCTGTCGGTGCAGCCAGGACATGAGATCCTGCCCAACATCCCAAATGACTGGTGAAACCTCTGGCACCTAGAGTGATGGGTGTCATAGCTGGGTCTGGACCGCTTTCCTGAAGGGAATTGGTCTTACCAATCTCTTGCTGGGCTTACTCTGCCCTCGGGCCATATAACCCTGTGCTGCTTCTTGCTCTCACCCTGCTCTCCTGGCTGCAGGCAGGACTAAGGAGCTCAGTCCTGAGCGCCTGGAGAGATTCACTCAGTTCTCCAAGGAGCAAGGCCTGGCAGATGAAGATATCCTCATCCTGCCCAAAACCGGTAAGAGCAGCTGGGAGGAGAGGCTGGAGAGGTCAGACAGGATGGTGGGGAGCTGGAGCCTACTGATGCCCCTATCCATGTGGATGCCAAGGCCAGAAGGGATGGGAAGGGATGGCATGGCATAGGAAGGGATGGATGTCTGGCTTGTGCCTGGGAGAGACATCCCTCTGTGSTCCTGGCTTCCAAGGGATGCATGGGCGGGAAGAGCCACTTGGGGTGGTGCTGTGAGGAGGGTGTGGAGGGCTGTGGTCTCACTGAGCCTGAGGATCAGCTCACCTCYGGTTTTGTTCCTTCTGCAGATAAATGCATGACCGATGCTGCCTAGGTGAGTCCTACTTCTGTGGCGACTCAGGTCGAAGTCACTCTGATAAGCTCCCCAGGTCGGAGCTTATCAGGGAAGTTCTCAGACCTGCACCATGCCCAAGAACCCCCTAGSACCTGCTCTGGCTCCCTCAGGCTGCTCAGCACAGCACTATCCCATCTCCTTTCCCAGGGGATCCTCTTTGCCTCGATAGGGAGAACTTGCCACTGTTGCCCCTCCATGGGTTGATGTGGGGACATGTGGAGTCCCCAGAGCCAATTTATCCCCTTGCCACCAAGCAGGAGAGCCAGCCCCACAGGACTGCATCACCTTGGGCCGTGGGGTGGCTGGTGCCCACTCGTTTAGCCCAGGACTTAGGGGGCAGCATCACCCCATCAACCTCCTGCCCCAGCTCAGCAGTGTTTGCCTCCGCTCTCTTCCAGGTGGACCTGGGAGCTGCTGCCGGGCTGGAGTCCGGCTTGTGCCGCGAGTGGAGCAGCCACCCCRACCCCGACCCCGTCCCCAGCACTGCCATGCCACAGCGTCACCCTTCACTTTCTGCCTTCGCACCCCCACGTCTGTACCCCCCCGCCAAAGCCCCATATAAAACACTAGCCCTGTGCTCTTGTCTGCTGGCTTGTCAAAGGGGTGGGCAGGAGGAGGAGCCCTGATGGGACCACCCAGTGTCCCCTCTTTCTCCCCAAGTAAGATGAGCTATGGGGACATCTGCATCTCCCCACTGCGGGCTCTCCCGGCTCCTTCCAGGCAGCCCCTGTGTGGGCAGGAGCCAGCGCAGCCAGTGCCAATGCGGAGCTTGGATTGGCTCCAGAGCGCAGATGYGATCCGAGCACTGGATCAGCAGGATGGGACCCTCTGCATCTTGGCTGCCTGGCAAAGCCATGAAGCCTGCTCCATGTCCAGGAAGGGCTTCCTGAGGCTCTGGACATGTTGGGACTGGGAGAATCTCCTGCCACATGCCATGGGCTCCCTGCATCACCCTTGGCAATCCTAGCATCCCTGCCTCAGTTTCCCCTATGGGTAGTCGGCTATCTGTGGTGGAGATAGGGCAGGAGCTGGGTGATTTCTGGGTGTCTGGAAGCTGGTGAAGAGGRTAGACATGAACCAGAGTGATTGCGCTAAAGAGCTGATATGACTCAGCCCTGGCCACCCACACAATGTCCGTGCCACAAACACAGACCTTCAGAGATGCTTTCTGGGAACAGGGCCTGCACCTGCTGCCAGGAGGGCACCCCATCCTGGTGGCCAGTCCCTGGGTGAAAGCCCTGGTCTGACCAATTCCTGCCTTGATGCAGGGTCTGTCCCTGCACTGCCAGACCCCTCCCCGGCTCAGAGGGGAGCTGCAAGGACCCCCACGCATGGCACCCTCTGAGCCCATCTCACCCCACTCCTTGGTTGCCCCACTGGACACAAGGCACTGCCTTGTCCCTGACTTGCTCCTCATTGGGGCTCAGACAAGACTGCATTCATTCAGGACAGAGCAATTAGACTCGGAAGGGGCCAACGCTGTTACCTAACACTAGCACAAATTATCCCTGCTCTTGTGTAACCTGTTGCATAAAGCAGGGGGTGGCGGGGGTGCTGCTGGCAGACGGGTATAAAGGTGGGTATGGAAGAGGCAGGTCCATCCAAGCCACATTCAGCTTCCTGAGTGAGGATGAAGGCTGCGCAGTCAAGCCTGGCGTTGGTCCTGCTCTGCCTGCTGCGGGTGCAGGCCGAGCTCCCTGTGCAGCCAGGCTTCGACCCGGAGAAGGTAACTGCAAAGGAGGCACCCTGGGGACAGCTGGGTCCCATCCCYTGCTATGCCCTTGGGCACACATGGCACCTCCAGACCTGCACGTGCCCTCGTCCAGGGTCTGAATTTGTGCCAGGTTTTCTGCCATGGGTAGTGGAAAAATGGGTTGGTCACCCACATGCCTGGGGCTGCAATGCCSTGTAGGTGCTGCCTTTCCCCAGCAAACACAGCCTGGGTGTTGTGCCCACCCCTCCTGGCATGGGACAGGACAAAGCGGTCACAGAGCAGGTCCTCTGGAAGGGCGGCAGGGCCCCAGGGAGGATGGGGGCAGGTCCCTCTGGTGGGTGGCAGGTCCCCACAACAGGTAGCCCATCCTCACGRTTCTCTTGAACTCCGCTGGTGACGGCCCGCTGCAGTTTGCAGGGACATGGCACATCGTGGCTGCTGTTTCCAACTGCCCTGTGTTCCTGAGCATGAAGGATAAGATAAAGTCATCCACCAGCATCTTCAGCTTCTTGCCAGACGGCAGCATGGCTATGAAGGCTATTTTCCCTGTGTAAGTGCCTGGATGCAGTGGGCATCTCTGCTGTGGTTCTTGCAGCGTCCTGCAAGGTTCAGGGTACTCTCCTGCTGACGGGTGGTTGGGAGAGGAGCAAGTCCCTACACATCCTAGAGGGTGAGGTGTCCTGCGCTGCATGTGCTCACAGGCCACGCTCACCCGAACGTGGGGTGAAGAGACAGAGCGGCCCACTGAAGAGGGCATTCCCCTCAGCATGTCTTGGAGCTGCGTCAGCTGTCCCACTTCTTCCTTTGCAGGGCGGATGAATGCAAAAACGTTGAGATGCATTTCCAGCAGAAGGGGCAGGTCGGGCACTACATCACCACAGGTACACGGGGGCAGGAGGGTCTGCTGTCATGCACTCTGCTCTTSGCTTCCAGCTGGCTGCCTCTATGGCACACCAACAGCTGAGAACAAGGAGTCCAAGCTCTCTTCACGCCCACAGAGAGCAAACAGCAGCTGGGCCGGGCCTCTCTGCCTCCATCTCTTGGCAAGAGGCTGCACTGCAAGTGGGCATCGAGCCAACATGCACAAGAGCTGCTGGCTCGGAGGTGGCATCCTCCTCTCTGCACAGTCAAGGGGAGCCCACAAGCCATGAGTTCGGCTTTGGTGCTGCCAGCACAGCAACTGGGAGCCGAGGGAGTGCACGGGATTGTGCCACATTGCCCAGCTGGGCATTGTCTGGGGTCTTCTTAGGAGAAGAAGGGAAGCGGGACCTGCGTGTGATAGAGACTGACTACGAACACTATGCCATCGTGAGCACTGTCACGGAGAGTGACAAGAASACCAGCACTACACTGCAGCTCTACAGTGAGTTTGGCCTCTCCAGGGCCAAGGAGTGACTTGGCTACTGGTGGGTGGCTCCCTATTGTCATTTGTTGTTGCCACATGAGCATGGAACCTTCTGGCACCAAGACCCCTGCAGAAAATTGATTTGAGGGGAATGAAACTTTGCACCAAAAATATCCCCATATCATTTCAGTTTGAATCAAATCCCCTCCTACAATATTCCAGCCCTCAAATTTGCCCTGAGCTGCTGTGCTTGGAGCAATAGGCATCTGATCCCAGCCAGGGGTCCTGTGGCTGCCTCTGGCCCGTGGCTCCCAGGCCGCTGGGAGCTCCAGCCGGTGCTTGCTCATCTTGCCTGCCTCCTGCCATGAGCTCCACCAGCAGCTCTCATGGGCAGGCAGTGGGGCAGTCCCAACCAAGCATGCGGGTTGTCCATGCAGAGGGGTTCGTGTCCTCCTCCCGTCAGCCCAAAGCAGCCATGGGATGCCTGGGACAACATCCAGCATCCAKCATATGACTGCATTTCTCCGTCACTTTATCAGCGTGTGCTTTRTCTTTGCTGAGGTCTCATCCCTGCCCTCATGGGGGCCAGATCCATGTGACCATCTTGTCACCAGACCTCCCCATTTGTACCTTTCCTTTGGTTTTCTGTCTGCAGTGAGGGGGCACGACGGGAGTCCCCAGCTCCTGAAGAAGTTCAAAGAGCTCTACCCCACCATGGGCCTTACTGATGATATGCTGGTGGTCATGCCAAAGTCGGGTGAGTGGCAGCATGGCCAACAGAGAGATAGGACATCCCCTCTGGATGGGGGGTCTTCTCCAAGAAGCCCAGCTCTGCATGGGCACATCATACTCCCCTCTCCAGGATGGACTGCAGTGGGTGGGCAGACGGCTGGGAAGGGATCCGGACACCATGTTTAGACCTTTTTTTTTTATTCTTTTTTTTTTCTTTTTTTGGCAGATGAGTGCCAGCAGGCTGCCAGGTGAGTGTGACCAGGAGAAACTGGGACTCCATCCCAGTACAGTCTGAACAGAGCAGGGACTCACTCAGAGAGCTGTTCCTGCACACCTTGGTCAGGGAAGGGCCTTTCTCCAAAGAAAACATTGAGCTTCTAAACAAAATGTTGAAAAACGTCCTGCTGTCTCATGGGAGATACCCTGGGGACATGCTGCAGTGGTCAGGGTAGACCAAATCGTGGGCTGGTGATGATCCCCTTTGCCTGCAGGTCCTCAGAAGGGCTGTGCTCCTTGGGAAGAGCCCCAGCATGGTGTCTGGGAGCACAGTGGGGGCTAAACCCTTTCCCATGGGGTCCCATGTAATGACAGCTTTTCCCTAGCCAGAAAAAGGGGAGGCTGGTGAAACAAAGACAAGCTGCCAGTCCCCAAGAAAATCTGCTACAGGAGGGACGTGGATTTGGGCTCTGTTTGCAGGATGATGAGGCCTGGGATGGAAAAGTCTTGTCCTGCCTTAGGGAGCTTGGCCCCACCACAGCCTGAGGATGGTCTTTGGCTTTCCCTAACACACGGTAGTGCAAGCTCTAACCACTYATGTGGCTGTCCTGCCTTCCAGCAGCTGAAGACGGATGGGTGTCCTCCAGACCATGTGGAAACTGTGCTCTGCTCCCCTCCTCCACGGTGTCCCTTACCTTCCGGGCTGGGTCTGCCAGATCTGCTACTGCCACCAAGAACACACTTCTCCCTCCTAAATAAATAGGTGCAGAAGCTTCTCTGGAGATTGATGTTTTTGTTGCAAACTATAGGAGAGGCTGCCAAGGTCTTCCTGGACACAGCATTTCTGCTCAGCACCACTGGGACTTTCTGYGGGAAAAGTGCAGGGAAGGGCACTGCTTGCGGAGCCCAGGGTGGAGGGGGTGGGGGAGAAGATCCTGGGGACGGTGCAGTGAGACATTGCTGATGATGTGGGCAGAGAGCAAATGTACAACTGGGATGAACAGGCAATTCATGGAGCTCAGCTGGATGGTAGGGCCAAGCTGGCAGCCTGCTCAGCCCTGCTTGCCCTGGCTCTGGCTGCTGGTGGGCAGCTCTTCCCTGGGATATCCATCCAGATCCCTGCTGAGCCCCTTCCCCAAACAGCCTTGGGTCCATCTGCCTGGGATAGAACAGACCTAGGCCTGAGTGCAGCTTCACTGTGGCTGCCCAGGAAAAGTACGCGGAGGGATTGGGACCCCCATACCTGCCCTCTTTGACACCCACATCTACCTGCTGGCCAAAGTATGGCCATGCTATAGTGAGTCCTAGGCGCCTTCCTCCATCCCACTCTGCTCCCCTACTAGGAGATGCCAGTCTCCTACCAGCCACGCAGAATGGGGGCAATCCCCTTGGTGCCCAACTAACCTCACTCCCAGCAATGGTGGCCAAGGAGTGCGCATTCCYTGGCCCACTGGAAGGGGTCCATTTGGCCCCATTAGCTGCAGGGAAACACCGTGGACCCTTTCAGGACTATGATCCCAGAACTGCATCTGAGCCAGGTCCTGGAAGCACAGGAGGCAACACTGCCTGGAATGATGGTGACACTTACAGTGACACAAAGCCCTTTCTCTGGCTGTGCTGCTCGGGGTCTGTCCCCCTTCAATGAGCTTGAACACTAGCTGAGGTGGTAGGTGTGCCCACAAAGGCACAAGGAGATCAAGTCGTGCCACCAAAGTGCTGGCACCAGGRCTTGTGTCCCTGCAGGGCACACCACTCCAGGCAGATGGCTGTCACCCTGTGTTCCTTGGTGCTAAATACCCTGAAATGCCATGGCTCATACATGTGCCCAGTCTGAGGAGGACCTCCTGGTTCCACCCGGCAGTTCTGCAGCGGCCAGTGGGAGGAACAAAATGTATGGTTGTTCTTTCACAAGAGATTAAAAACATGAAAAACTTCCTTTTAGCTCTGGTGCATCAGGAATTCCCAAAATGTCTTGCTCAAACCTCTTGCACCTTGGGGCTTGCATACAATTTCTTCTTTTTTTCCAGTATTGAGAAACAGTTTACCCAGGGTAAACAGGGCTAATTTCAGTCCTTCAAAACCACCACCTCACCCAAGCCAACAATAACATCATCACTGAGGCAGTTTCCACACTCAGCAATGATGACGTGAACGGGAGGAGAAAACCCAGCTCTATAAAGCCAGCAGCCCCAGGACCACTCTCCACCCTGCTGGGTGAAGCTGGAAGAGGCTGTGGCAAAATGAGGATCATCTTACTGATCCTGGGGCTGGCCCCACTCTGCTTGCTGTGCGTGGAGGCTCAGGACCAGGGATCTGAGAAGACAGATAAGAGCAAGGTAACTTGTGGTGTCCTGGAGAAGAAAAGATGGGAGGGTGACCTCAAGTGACAAGGGTAGTAAATGAGGAAGTATTTTGTTAGTAGGGGGAATTGGGGGCACTACAGCCAGCTCAGATCTTGTCTGCTTCTGCCATCCCAGAATGAGTAGATGTCCAGGTAGGTGCTGCATTTAAGTGYCTAGACAAGTGCCACAACCTGAGAGCGTGGAAACCTGCAGGTCTCCGAAGTGAAGTGTCCTAACAGCTGAACATCTCCAGAGAGGCAAGTCCTGCCTTGTCCTCCAGACTCACAGTCTGCTTCTGCCACCAGATTGCAGGGAAATGGCACATTGTTGCTCTAGCTTCAGATTCTGAAAGCTACCTCCGAAAGAAGGATGAGCTGAAGATGGCAATGGCCAACCTCTCCCTGCTGGAGGATGGCACCCTAAAGGTCTCCTTGGCCATTCCCACGTAAGTACCAAATGCTTTTCTCCACAGGCTTCACTGAACAATTGCACCCCCAGACTTTTATCTGTAAGTCTCCACTTGGCTCCCTCACCCAGGAGCCACAAAAAAAAATGGATGGGAAGTGAGACAGATGCCCCAACTGTGTAACAGCCATGGGTTTGAAGTGGGGATTGCAGTGGGGAAGCAGTGTCACAGAGACCTCCCTTCCTAGTCCTGCTCACAGTCTGCCCAGGGGGAGAAAGGTCCCTGCCATCAGAACCCACCAGAGCCCAAGGTGGGACACAGAAGGACAGGCAGGTTTATGCCAGCAAACCTACAGATGGGGTCCCACCACGGATGCTGAGAAAGTGTGCTGCTCCCTTTGCTTCCCCAGGACAGAAGCAGCACATTGATAATGAGCATCAGAGCTCTCAAGGCAGGAATGACCCCTTCCTTCCAACCGATATRGGCCAGGGAATATTCATGTGACTCGGCAGAATTCTTGCATGCTAGTGCTCTAGCCACCTGGTTCTAGCAACCAAAGCAGGCACTACTCCAGAGATGGCATTTGTCCTCTTACCCACCCWTACCATCTCTGCAGAAAATTCCATGTTTGAGGTGGAGAGCCCAGATCTAGCATTGTTATGGGAGGGGGAAGTGGATGACTTCACCCCAGCTGGTGCATGCTCCACCAATGCCTGTATATATCCTTGTTGCGATAAACTCGCCCCAAGCATGCCCTTGGGGCTGAATAACAAGAGTGTCCTTCCTTGTTTTGCAGCTCTGAGGGATGTAGGAAAACAGAGTTGATCTTTAAGAAAACAGGCGTCCCAGGTGAATTCTACCACTCTGGTGAGTGTGGGGGAAAGTGGAGAGGAAATCCTTCTGTACTGGTTGCTGGCTGCACTATCAGGGTGGAAAGCTCTCTGATGTGGCTGCCTGCACTAGCTCCATGCCAGAAGCTGCTCTGGATTAAGATGGCCGTGCTCTGTCAGAGCTTAATCTCTGGGGCAAAGCAGGTTCATTCTGCAGTAGAGTTGTGGACAGATGGTCCCAAGAGATGAAGCAAGAATGGCTTCAGGAGGCTTCCACCATTCACATGTCAGATGTTAAACTAAAAATGGCCAGATTACTCCACTGTCTGCAGTGACTTCTCCAGACCCTCACTGTGTTCATGGCTCCTSTTTGAGTCAGAACTCTGCTGTGGTCTGTTGTCTAGACTCCTCTAGGGCTTCAGAGGAGCCCTGTCAAAATCAAAAGCCAGGAGTGGAGACAATGAACCAGGTAGAGGTGGCCCTTGGCTTTCTGCATGAAGATTCACATTCTAGGAGCTTTTTTGCATAGTGGGAGAACGAAATTAATTTTTTGCTTTCCTGCACGTTCTTTTACAGAGAGAGGCAATAAAACGGTGCAGGTGATGGAAACCGACTACAAGACTTATGCAATGATATTTGTAACCAGAGTGAAGGACGGGAAGACCTTGCGTATGATGAGGCTCTACAGTAAGTAGGCAGTGGTGATCTGACTAACAGCTTTAGCCATCAGAAGCAAAGGGCTCACAGGCCACATGGYGCTTTGAAATGCTACAGGGAGAGAGTCACCCAAAGAGTGCTCAGTACCTGCAAGGGAGACCCTCCGTCCATCCCTCACTGTGACTGGCCCTCTTGGCCTGCGGAGTGGGTGCACTGGGGAGGGACTATTGCTGCTGCAAATCCCATGTGTGGCAGGAGGAAAGATCAGTGATATGGGGATGATGGAGGAGAGGGGGCAGGTCCCAAATTCCTTCTCTGTGCCAGAATGACTTGGGTAAGTTGCTTGGTAGGAGATGGCTAAAAGATGAGGTCCTGCTGCAGGAACAAGGAGGGAATGCAAAAGGGTGGAGATGGGAACTAAAGACAGGAGTCACTGYTCTGGTTGTGGGTGCATTGGTGCCAGAGTCTCTTCTTAACCTCATCCTTGRAAGAGATGATTCACATGTCCAGCCACAGTCACCCTTCTGGGATATCCACTGCTCCCTCCCACCTTCTCCCAGGAACTGTCTAGCCTATCTGTCTACCCCGTGCCACATGCTCTAGGTGTCCCTGCTAGAAGAGGGGCACTGGACTAGATGATCTCTAGAGGTCCCTTCCAACCTCAACCATTCTGTGATTCTGTGATTCTATCTGTATCTCCTGTCCTAACCCACGTGAGTTCTTCAGGTGTCCAGATAATTCCAGAGATAGGAATTCCTGAGATAGCAATTCCAGAGATAATTCCAGAGACAGCAAAGCATGCTGCTAATTCAGGTCTTTGATTTTAGGCAGAACAAAGAAGGTGAGCCAAAAAATCACAGAGCAGTTCAAGAAGCTTGCCAAGGAACAGGGCTTCACCGAGGAAATGATCAAGATGCTGCCCAGACAAGGTGAGTACAGACCAGAAGCAGATTTGCATATGCCAGTGTGGCTTGTTAGATATGTGAAGCCAGAACATATTTTGCCTTGGTCCATACTTGGCACCACTTTGTGGTTTGAACTGCTAGAAGGCTCTAGTAACGAGTTGTGCTCTGGCTTGGGTATGTCATGACTTTAGTCCTAATTGACTCTGTTGCTGAGCTGTCTGTTTGTTGGGTTTTTTTGTGCTATGTGGTACTAGCCAGACYCACGGTCATGAACTCAGCCTTTCTCTTTGTTTTCACAGAGGAATGCAGCCTCCAAGTGCAGTAGGTAAGTTGCTGCCAAGTCCAGATTGAAATTTGTTCCTCTTGATGCCCAAGCAAAGACCACCATGAATTCCTTGGATCACTTGGTGGGGGACATGCTGTTTGAGCCAGGCTGGAGCTTATMTCCAAGCAGGACTTTTCTTCTTGAGCAGAAGGCTCCCAGGAGCTTCTGCAGCAGGGAACACTAGGCCCTAATGGCAGTACCATGACTTCACGGTGCTGGGCTGACCACTAGCAAGCAAAGACACCTGAACCAGAGCTGCAGGGCTCCATTCAGTGGAGGAATGGCTGCA